AAGTATTTTTGATTTTTGATTTGAAAAAAATGAAAGCAATGCTAAGAGATAGAGAGTGAAATATGAGTAAAAACAAGTCGAATACACCGGCCGGGAGTTGAACCCAGATCACTCGTGTGTAAGACGAGTATTCTACCGTTAAACTACCAGTGCTCATTCTTGGCATCTAAGCAACATTTCAAATTGACTGATTTGATTCAATGATCTCTAATATAATCAAGCAGCATATGCAAGAATCATTAGATTCGTATGTGTTTTAACTCCAAATCACCGTTAGAATGCAGAAATTTAAGTACATATTAAAATTGATAATTACAAGAAAACTATCTATTTGAAAATATAATTCTCTGCATTGTTTTGTTGAATTCAAATGTCTTTTCGCCAAAAATAATAGTGAATGTAATTTTAAACCGAGATTTTTCAACTCTCTCATCTGCGATCACAGACCTGAGTAATTCCTCCTTTTCCATCTTGGTCCCTAGCTATAGGAAAAGGTGTGTAACCTATATCTGTGCTTAGATGATTCCGAAACTCTGTAAACTCTAACTGGTCTAAATAGTGTGGGTTTCGGTTTTCAATATGGCGAAAGGATCCTGTTGTAGATGTCAATCATTATAGTAGTTGTAATGTCGATCAAACAGATCTAACAGAGTGAAAATAGAAAGAAAGGATGATGGACATTGTAGTCTACTGAGCGATAAAGCCCAAGTGTATAGCCAGCTGATATGTCTTTGAGCCAGAAAAACGAGTAGTAGAATAATGTTTGCTGCTTCCTGTGGGATTTATCGCTTAGATATATTGATAAATGGGAATAGAAGTTTATAATTTGCAGATGTATTTAACAGTATAAATAAATTTGTCAGTATAGCGATGTTAAATAAATTAACTAAATTGGTAAAATAGTAATTTCATATGCTAACCTTTCCAAAATGACAAGATTTTAGAACGTACCTATCAATTATTTGAATTGTTATAACTTTGATTTATTCATTCGTTTGGCATTTTTTCAAATTCATTATTTTAAAACCTGTGACGATACATCATAAATTTATGAGAGTGAGAGTTTGTGATCATAATTCTTAAAGGGAATTGTAACGATTGCTATTATATGGAACGTTAGTGCAGATGTGTTTGATACTTTATTGATCTTCTTTTCGTTATATCAGCGCACATACACACTGACACATGGCTTTCTTTTTATACGTCCACATGAATCAAGGAAAAGACAAAGAGAGAACAATACAGAAGGATAGAAAGAGAAGGCCGAGAAGATATTAACAATGCATGAGGTTCGGGTAAAATGACAAGGTATATGGTAAAAGAGATGGCAAGGGAAGGACCATGCATATAATGAGAAGAAGTGATAAGAAAATATGATCGGTTCATACAACCAAATAGTAAAGGTAAAGAGTATCGCATTATCGACATTTTTTTTTTAACATTGATATTTATTGTGCCATTTAATATGTTGGTTCACAAGTATAAAGATAGATAAGAATAACGAGAGGTGTGCTAGTTTAAGAACAGTACAGAGAAAAAAAAAGAAAAGAAAAGAGTATATAAATACACCATAGTTTTACATTAACGCATGAACGAAAAAAAGAACACAGACGTTTCACATCTTCAGAGAGGACAAGAAAATAGAGAGATTCAGGAAGAACTTGATTTAAAGTCAAGGGAGAGAGATTCATCAATCTTTCAAGCTTGGGTAAGGAAAAACTTGAGTACGAAGCGGGACAGGTGAGTGTTAGACTTCGAGAAACAGTCATATTGCTTGATATGGGCGTTTTCAAATTCAATCCAGTCGATAATGCAGTGCTTTGCTTGCTCACACAATCTACGGAGAAAGATGCTGTTAGATTTAAAGCCCATGGACTTGAGCCACTCCCTCCGAGAGGAGGTTATGATCAAGTACGCAGACCATGTTTGCTGGAAAGCAGCAGCTTCTTCGGCAGTTAACATGTGTACTATCAAGCGGCGCCAGTACTTAAATAGGTAGTCATAAATTGACTTCTCTCTAGAGAGGATTAACGTCGTAAGATCATCCCACTGTGAGAGAGAGAATACTATACGAAGTCCTGTACAGTACATGTGCGCTATTTTTTCTTTCTGTCTTTCGGTGAAGAAGAACCAAGTACAGAATAACCATAGAAAGTGCGGGAGGGCGTAGGATGAGAAGATTTTTCTTCATATTTTAATATCTTTTTTGGTAATGGTTCTAAAGATCATTCGCATCGCATGATATACCTGACTGATACTCTTCATCCTTTCATTAATGTATTTCTCCCATCCTAGTTTCACCGTTATATTTACCCCCAAGTATTTGAATTTATTAACATATTCAATTGTTTGATTCTTATAGTAGATTTTGGGATAAGATGGTGAAACTACATTATGTACCAACATCGCCTTCGTTTTTGATATATTCACTGGAAGAATGAGATTATCAGCGAATTTCTCTAATTGCTTTAGTACAATGGCAGCGCGTTCTTCAAGTTCATAGATATTCCTGTAGAATTTCTTTTCTATTGATCCACAGAGAATGAGCGCTAGGTCATCTGCAAACAGATGCACTATAGTATTACTGAATTGTGATGGAACAAAGTGAATATGTAATCGAAAGAGAGTTGCTGCGATAACAGAGCCTTGCGGGGCTCCTCTCTTCATTTGGACTACTCGTGATTTAACATTCCCATAATGTATGCTAAAGGTTCTGTCTTTTAACCAGTTAAAAATCCATTTTAATAATGGTAACGGCATGTTCAGTTCGTAGAGATTTCGAATGAGTGCAGGCACCCACATATGGTCGAACGCGGAGAGAAAATCGATGAATAGCGTCAATGCAGGACGATTGTTTGCAGCAACGGTTAACCTCAATTCTTCTATGAGTGTTATAATTCGTGTTTGTAATCTCCTACCCGGAGAAAAGCCCGATTGTTCATCTGTGTAAATATTGTTGTTTTTACACCAAGTTAAAATCCTACTATGAACGATACGCTCATAGCACTTTCCAAGGTTTGGAAGTAGAGATATCGGACGAAGATGTTCAGGAGGGGGGTATATGCCCTCTTTTGGTATACATATTATTTTAGCATGTTTTGCAGCAGAAAAGAATTCACCCTTTTCAGAACATTTATTAAATAGGACTGTTATTATATTCATGTATTCTTCCGGTATTTTCTTCAACAGGAATGCTGAAGTATTTACACTATCTGTCGACTTTTTTGGTGATATTTTTTCCATGCACTCATTACTTCGTTTATTGATATTGCTTCAAGTGGGATGTTAGGTAATGATTCGATTTGATTAAAGATGGAAATATATTTTTGATGGAGAGGATTATTTGCATCAGGTGTGGGCTCATCAAAATGTTTCTCATGGTGATCAGCCAGCTCATCCACTATCCTCTTAGGGTCCTTCACTTTAACTGAATTAATTGTTAACCTGCGAAAAGGAGGAGAGAAAGCATGGAAGATAGGACGTGTAAATTTCCATATATTTTGTTCTTTCGCTGTCCATTCCATCTTGTCCTCGAATTGTTGTCGTAATAGTCGAGATCTCTCTTCACAAAACCTGGTTTTAACTTGTAAAAAGTACTCCAGATGGATATCAGTTTTATTTCGTCGATAGATACGTCTTCTTCTGTTCATTTCCTTAGCGAGAGCTACTAGAGCAGGTGACCAGGGCGGTCTATATTGCTTTGTTAGTTTATATATACTACATCTATCCCATAATGTGGTGAGAAAGTTCGAGAACAGTGTGAAGAAAATTTGTTCGTCATAGTTGTATACTAATGTCAACCAATATTCAAAGACGGTGTGGAGAAAGAAAGAAAAGATGTTCCAGTTTGTAATTCTAAAGTGATGTGATTGTGAAACAGGTATTGGAGACTGTAGGAGGATAGGAAAGTGGTCCGATGTCCCTTCCTCTAGGACTTCACTGCTCCAACCTGTCGCATCGTGCGTTATCCCAAAATCTATTATCGAATCAGATCTACGCGATGTTGGTTTACTAGGTACAATCATTGTATTTCCTGTTTGTTCTAGCCAATCAGCCAGTTGATTACCACTATTATTGTTTCCTTCACATCCCCAACTATTATGCTTAGCATTAAAGTCACCAAAGATAAAAAAAGGTTTATTTCTACACTTTGAAAATAAGTGAAATGGAGGTGTTGTTCCAGGTGGAACATACACAACTCCAATGAGAGAAGGTTCGGGAAAAGTTTCTATCTCAATTAACAGAAAGTTCAATTCTCTCTCTATTTCTTTGTATTTAATCGAACGGTGGCATAGTATGGCTACTCCACCAAAGGCGTTGGTTCCCTTCTGAGTTATAAGGTGATAGTCAGGGAATACTAGTGTTTTCCTAAGCGCACCATTACCGATCTCAGTTAGAACACATATTTGTGGCGCATAGTTGGTCAGTAGTGTGTGGGTGTGGGTGTGGGTGGGTGTGGCTGTCGTGTATGAGTATGGGCTATCACTTCATCACCATCCACACCCACACACTCCACATTCACACCCACACGGGGTGTGGGTGTGGGTCTGGTTGTAGGTGTCGTTTGCAACCACACCCATACCCTCTAGTTTTTGAAATCACATACATAGTGAAAAGGTACTATTTTGAGACTTCCTAACCAACGGTTTCGATTACGATTGATGCGTGGTTACCATTAGATAGCGATTGTCGAGTTCTACTTGGAACTGGGTTGGAACACTTGGAACATGTTCCTGGATGAATATGGGAAGGTTTTAGTAAGTAGGTTTGTCTTGTCCCACAGAAAAAGGGCAGTATTTTCCATTTTTCTCAAGATTGGTTTGGGCTACGGAAAAACGAAGGTTACCATTGGATAAAACTCGTCGAGATGTACTTGGAACCAGGTTGGAACACTTCGAACACATTCCTGGACGAATATGGGAAGGTTTTAGTAAGTAGGTTTGCCTCTTCCCATAGAAAAATGGCGGTATTTTGGATTTTTCTCACGATTTGTTTGGGTTATGGAGAATCCAAGGCTACCATTGTATAGAGCTCGTCAAGTTGCACTTGGAACTGGGGTGGAACACTTGGAACACGCTCCTGGACGAATATGGGACGGTTTCAGTGACCATACATATAGTGAAAAGGCACTATTTGGGATTTTCTCACCAATGGCTTGGATTACGGTTGATCCAAGGTCACCATTGGATAGAGCTCGTCGAGTTGTACTTGGAACCGGGCTGAAACACTTGGAACACATTCCTGGACGAATATGGGAAGGTTTTACTCGAATATGGAGCTAACTTCACCTACGTGTTTTTCATGAGTAATAATTGCTGACTTTGGATGATAAGGCAATGAATAAAAATTACATTGTTGATCATAAATTGTATCATTTTCATGGTCATCAGATAAACTTGAAGATGAGTAGAAAGGATGACTTTGTATTTTATGATATAGGTTATTAATTGTTTCCTTGAAAAACTGTATTAAGCTTTTCGTTTTTAGTAATTTACTGTAATAACTATAAATTTTTACAATTTTTTCAATAAGTTGACTTACCCATTGGGGTGTATATACTCGCGTCAAATGGTCATTTTAATCGGATATGATTCATACGGGTTTACCTAGAATATAAAAAGTAAAACTGAATATGGGTTCATTCACATCTTACAAGATCAATGCAAAAGCATCATTTTCGTAATAATATGTGGACATAATCGCGATTGGCTTTTTCGAATATTAAATTTGTATATAATCATTATTTACTTTCCAAGAAATAATTTCTGAAACCTTGAAAAAAAACATTTAATGGAATCAATGTTTCTTTTTTTTAAATTCTGTTATTGTGTTGTTAAACTTCACTAAAAATTCTTCCAGAATCATTACGTTATGGAATATGGCTATGAATTTGTTACATTGATATTGAAAATTTCTTTTATACATATCAATAATGCCGTTTAATGATGGTGGTTATGCCATGTTCTAAAAAAGTACTCAGGTTATCTTATTTATTTCATACTGACAACATTTATATATGTTATAGGGAAACTTTTTTTGTTTAACAAAGACCAGTAACACTGGCTATTGAATCATTGAAAACGAAAGAAAACATCACGAATTATTCAAACGAGACACATATGGAGACATCTTCTGATTTCGATGACTTTTAACAAGAAAGCAAAAAAAAGAATTTTTGTTTTCGATTATTCATTCATCCATTCCGACATCATTTTCATTTGTCATGTCTATCTATCCATATATCAATCAATCAATCTTTTTGATTGATTCGCTCTATTTTCTGTTTTTCAATATACTCCTTATTGTTAGACTGAGAAATACACAAGTTTTCATTTTCAATACACGAAATAATTTGTAAAGAATGTAACAAAAGTTCTGATCCTGTTTTGCAATATTCTTTTCTCATATGTTTTCCTACTGCGCGGGACTGATATTTTCAGTGCACATACTAGACGTCTAGATCTACTTTAAGCTAGAAATTCAGCCTTCTATTTGTTGTTGTTACAGAAATACAAGCATTAACAAAATCACAAATAACGCTCGTCGCATGACTCGCTTGATCTTCGGCTGAATGGTTAAATAAGTTAATGAAAAATCCAAAGTTGCTCTTATAGTTAAGTTAAAATCACTTGATGAAAATAGAGTTCGTCTTTTTTTAGATTCTTTTTATTATTTAAGACTCAAGTGATAAAATAACAATTGATAAAGTTTTATAATACAAAAATGATGCTTATTTTTCAATAAATTGAGAGTAGCCCAATCTGTGAAATTTTATTGACTAATTAGATTTTCATTCATTATATTATGCGAGAGTGTGGGTGTTTGTCTTCTTTGACACTTATATTTTTCTAATATGTTTGAATTGACAGCTTTTTTGTGCGTCATTAATGAAAAATCTCTAATCTTCTTTTCTTGACAATTAATATAATGTTATTCACTTATTTGTTTTTGTATATATATAGAATTGAAAAATAATCAAAAATTAAATGTTAAAGTTTCTTTTCTATGTTTCAATTATTGACAACAAATAGTGGATTTAAATTTAAAATTTGAGTATTTCTTTGATTCAATGTTCTATTAAGTCAGATGCTTCCCTATAAAGTATGTTCTATATGAAGATATTACTGCTGTTGACATACAAATGATGAACTAACATCCAGGATTTTTTTTTCTGTTGAATTAATAGGACTCCAATGAAGGTAAGTATCTAGCTGAGAGTGAAAAGCTGACTCGACCTTGGCAGAGATAAAATTTTGTTTTATGCTATCCATAGTTCAATCCAGCAGATTAAATGAATCCAATGGTTAAAAAAAATACATTTCGAAAGTCTTTCAAACGGCATTGTATAATACGAAGCACATTTCATTGGTGATACTTTCATAAAATCGTGTGAAGAAAACAATATTTTTGGTTTGTAGTTCAAATTGATCTTGCTAAAATATCAATATCTACTTATAAGTAACGAACTAGCATTTATGACTATCATACTTTCATTCATCTCAATAACTTCATATATTCAAGGATTGAAAAGTCATTTCGTTAGAGTCGTGTACACGTTAGTACCCCTATCGAGATTCATATGAAAATAAAAGATAATGAAGATGAGACAGAAGATGAAGATATGAGTATCGATTTTGAGGCACATTTACGATCGGGCATCATGTTTTCTTAGTCAATATTATATTTTCACAGCGACGTGTTTACTCTTACCATTGTAACTATTCGCTTCTCTATACAGATACTGTTGCAAACTTCTCTTCTTTCAAGTAAAATGAATCTCTCACAAAATCATAGTTCTTTATATAGACTTTTCAGTCTAGAATATATATGAGCGATCTTAAAGGAATTGATCATAATCAGAAGTATTTTGAGGTCGCCATGATTGGGGAATGAGGGTCGAGAACTCAGGATATCAATTGGAATGTTTTTTGGTAAAGCTGACTGGGTTAGGAACCTAGCAACTAGCTCAGTTTGGAGCATGGATTCGAGTGCTAGATATGAAAAAGCTGTCGGCTCAGATCCAAAGTATGATCTGATACCTGAACTCTACCCGATAGCAAATGAGATCTCGATGTTTCAAAATATTTTTACTTTTTCAAACAGCTGTCTATATAAAAGCATAGAAGTGAAAACTGGTTTGATCATTATCGGGCAATTTATTGTACTTGACAAAAGATCACAAAAGTGCAAAGCGATATTGTTTTACTAAGAAAACTCTTTTTTAATGAAAATTCATCTACAGATGATGTCGAACCACACGACGAAGTAACTGAATACATGGAGAAGAAAATGAATTATAAAAAAAGCGAACACATATTATCATGATAGAGAAAGTATTCCTGTATGTGTCCAGAATTATAATATTCAACAGCAACATTACATTCTACCCCAACGTCATCAGCAACAAGAAAACGTATACTTAGTGAAATTGAACGAATTTTAGAAATAGAAACACAGCAAGTGAATTCTGAATCACTCGCTTTTTTTGTGCGACTGAGATGAGCTTTTTTTTTTTGTTGCTGTTTATAGAAGAAACTAAATAATATACTTTTTCTTGCAAGATAAAAGTTTGACAACCGTACTGTTATTATGAAAATATCTGTAGCGTGTAGAGCCGTGTGGTTCCGGTGATCAAAAAGGGAAAAAAAGCGGTTCCATTTTCGGTTCCTAAAATCTGTTGTAGGAATCGGTGCTTTTACGATAATATACAACAATATCGAGTAATAGATTTTTTTAGAAATTTCTATATTCCATTTTTGAGATTGTTCATGTTTATAATTTCGTCAAAAAAAGCAACTTCTTCAAAAAGTGAAAGAATGAGGAAAAACACTTTACTAATATATGTTCATAGGAAATTATTTATATTGCTAGTACTAAAAACAATTCTATTTCATTATTTTCTTTATCTTCTTCATAATTATCATCACCCAGAAAAATATCATCTTTGTCACTCATTTTTAAACTTCTTTGTTGTTTTAGTAATGGATTGTTCTAGGTGTCTATAGGAGATTGTAGAAGATGGCTGCTCAAGCATTTTTTCTTTTTATTTCAGTTGTATTACTTTCAACAATTTTTTTGTCCATACTGGACCTCGCATTTATGTGCCAGCGTAAGAAATATACAGTGTACCACTACAGAGATCGTAAACCGTTTCGACTTAAGATTACGTTGCGTTTGAATGGTTCGTTGGTTACCGTACAAAAAAATTTTCGGTTCCAACGGTTCCGATTCCGGGTAACAGAAACTGAAAAAATCCGGTTCTGATTCGATTCTCGGTTCCATTTTTTTAGTCCGCAGGGCTCTATTCGCATGTTGATCAGTTTCGGTCGAATATCGGGTACAGCTATCTGGGTTCGATTCGAGTCTGGTTACAAAAAGTCGTACCCGTGTAGGACAATATTCGCGACATTTCTGTTCATAACTTCAGGATGCCTTGATTGTATACTGTGATTATTTGATTTCTCACATCTTTCTTCTTCGACGATCAATTACACATGAACGAGAACTGTTCTTTTGACTGTTATTGACATAACAAGAAATTTATTGATAACTTCAGCTAATTCCATCTAGATCGAAATCAGAGTGATAAAAACAGAAGTATAACTCAGTACTAGAAGTAAGTGGATGTTGTATGGACGAGTTTCAGAAGTAGGAGGGACGTCACATTCAATGCGACCCTCATAAGCTATGTTTCTGAATGAAAGAAGAAAAAAAAACAAATACTCAAGTGTAACAATCTAATTTAAAAGAAAGGACTACGATGGGCTGAACCTCGTGCTTCACTTGTTGCACAAAAGATTAAGTAAGATATAAAATTCGTAATCCATGAAATTAAATCGAAGTCAATAAAATTACATTATATAAAAATAATGATCCAATCAAATGAAAGTCCATGTTTTATAACATTCCAAACGATGCTTTCTCTCTTCCTTCAACTCGATTGAAATATTCTTAAGCAAATAAAATCAACTCATTCGGTAAATATAAGTCATAAATATTCGATTTTTCACAAAAAATAAATCATTTTAAATGATAATTATTCTTTTATTTCTCATATAATAAAAGTATAGTATTATAGAAAAGTCTGAAAGAATGGGTGCCGCAAATTCTCGACGGCATTATCATCATGAAGAAACAGTATCAGGTAAAATAAACTAATTCACATTCAATTCAATGCTTTCATTACACAAACTTTCAAGACTTGATTGCTACATGCGCTGAATAAATTTGCTAAACAAATTTCCTTAATTGCTTATTCTAAAACAATATTTATCAAACAATA